TCAATTTATTAAAACAGTAAAGATTCTGTTGGAATATCTAGGTTCAAAATACAAGTCGAGTGTCGTAGCATTGTAAATGTTTCTTTATTGCCTGACAGTCCTCAGGTCAAGAAATTGAAGGCCTGCAGTTTCTCACTGCGGAGTGGGCCAAGTAATAAACAAGCACATGGGCACTCTGAGTTTTTCTTTCTATAGGACCCAACAATGGTGTTTCTTTTTCAAAACTTTCTTTTTCGTTCTTCACTTCAGTTCTAGCTTTCGTACAGTACAGACATCCTCCGTGATCATAGTAGAAAATAAAGTTCAGTTTAACGTTGATTTCGTGTGTACAATTTATTATAAACTCTATAAAACCATATCCTATTTCCATTAATTTTAAGTATCAAGATTTAATTGAACCCTGTTCAATTCGTCGCGTCTCGATTCGGCTCGAATCAACCTGACCCCATTTTGATCGAGCGTTCTTCGATTCTACGCACTTCGATATCTCTTACAGATCATTCGTCAACTATATAAAATAAAAGATAAAAGTCAACATTTCTTGCTCGTCGACGAATCGAATGAAGAATATAAGATCTTTTATGCCGTGAAATCCGCAGTCTCCAACGACGGACCTGTGCGCATTTTCTGGTCGAAAAGGAGTCAGCGAATACGTGTTTGAAGCACGGAAGTCCTCGGCGCGCTAATAGCGAGGGTCACGATCGCGAGAAAGCTGACAGACACCGATTAAAGCCGCCTTCGTCCCATCTTCTCGTCGCGTCGCGTCGCGTCGCGTCGCGTCGCGTCGCGTCTCGTCTCGCCTCGTCTCGTCACGTCGAGACGTTATTTTCTTCCAACGAAGCTTCTTCGAGATCTCGGACAAAACGGATTTTAATTCAAATTCAATAGAACGTCGCGCGGCATTTATGAATCGTACGCGTTGGGGCACCGCAGTCTTATTCTTCCCACGAGATAAAAGAACGCTCGATTTTTTCATTCTCTTCTATCGAGAATCTTTTGGTTCGAGAAGTCGGTTGTCTGTGAACACGATAGCATCGAGGAATCACAGTTTACTATCGACTGCTTGGGAAATTTGAATAATACGCGGAATAAGGAGCCTCATTATCGCCAAGATTCTTTTCCTTTTCCTACTCTTGCTTCCTTTTTTTTCTTTTTTTCTTTTTTTCTTTTTTTCTTTTTCGCGTGAACGGAGCACATTGAATCGTCGGTGGAGAGAGGACGAGGATATTCTGTGGACACGTTCGACGGAGAATTGAATGAAACGACTGAAAATACTTATACATTTTACATGACGAAGAAATGGGAAAGAAAAGAGGGTCACGGAAGAATGAAGTTCGATCGAAGATTTTCTTTCGACCGGTTGGCCATCGAATTCCTTGCTCGAGCTTCGTTACTTACAACGGCCGACGGTGAATAAACGGGTACAATGGTGCTGGTTCGTTGCTCGTTCCGAAAGCTACCCGTAAACGATTGTTTCAGACTTGGAGCTTTTTAACCTAGATTCGGATGGAACGAGCGGTCACCGTTTAAAACGTCAGCCAACGAAGACTTGTCGGATAATTACGGAAGGAACTTCTTAATCCCGTTAAAAACGGTACACGTCTGCTAGGATAGGCCGGTAGAAGTTTCTCGGCAGAGAAGGACGAGGGAAGAAGGAAAATTCCCGTTCTCTCGGACAATTGCTGCAACCGTTTTCGAGCATTTCGAGACGACGAGAGGGAAATACGATGCTTGACACGTTTCCGTAGGCGGCAAATGAATTATACTCCGGCTAGAATTATTTCGTTGTCTGCTATTTGCTTTTTAACGTCTGAAGGTCCATTTATATCCGTAGACGTTGAGAAGTTACAGGCATGACAGTTTCGCCGAGAATCGCGCCGACAACGAGAGGTGCGAACGCGTTTTCGATAGACAGTCGATTTCGCGGGAGAACGAATTAGAATTTAACAAGATACTTTGTCACCGATTATTATCGCACATTCTTCCAGCATACTTTCCTCTCCATCCAAGTAAACTTTACCGTTTACTCGCAGTACGTAAGCTAATATCTCTCAGCTTTCGGATTTCCATTCGGAACTGTTTCTCCGCGTTCATGGACTTCCCCGGCAAGTCCGTATATCTCCTAGTTTGCACCAATTAAGGTTATCTGGTGCTAACGCGTGTTATCTCGGTATAACATCGGCTCGTAGACGCGTTGCCGAAATGTATTCTACATTGAAAACCGGATGCTTTCTTAGTTTCTTGATATACTTATTTGCTAAACGCGTAAAAAATTGTTCAATCCGAAAAACTAAATATCGTAACGTGGAAATGAAATTTTTCCAGGTTTACCATAATTGGGCTGTAAAGTACGCGTGCAGAAGATTTATACGGCAGTGTATTACGCAACTTCGCTTACGTAGATTAACGTAGATTAAAAATGGGTATTAAACGATGAAAAGCTACGTATACGAAAATTACGAACACGCGTTACCGATCGGCAAAGTATTAAAATGAAATTTCGTGCTAATTCATGCAAGCTCATCGAATAACTTATATTCGTGTCGAGTAAAAGCGTATCGCGCAGAAAAAGATCCGTTAATTATTCGTATTCGTTTCGTAAGCAAAATAATAGAAAGAAAAATGCAGCATCTCGCTCACGATTAATTAAAAACTACCAGCTCCAGAAGTTGGCGAAACGCGATGACCTATCTGTCCCAGCGAATTCCAGCAAATAAAAGTGACTGCTTTGAAGCGTTTCGTTTATCCCGACCACCTGAAAGAGCAATTTTGTCGGTTAAACTCGTTCTGGATGACTCTACATCGTCGCAGTGCTTCAAAAGCGACGTCGCTGCAAGACGTGGATTAAATAAACGGTGCCGAGCTAAACAATTCCGGCTAAAAGTAGTCGAGACCACGCGAAAACTGGACTTTTTAAACACTTCGCTTTACAGCTTAAAGAGGCTGTCACTTTTTTTGTGAAATTAGCATAACAGACCGGTAATGACCCATCTCGCGTTTCGAGTCCGCGAAGAAAGGTTTATCATATTCGACTCTTCGCTGTAATTAGTTATTACGTGGCATAGTACTCGCAACGTTCCACAGCTTTTCGCCGTGGCCGTGTACTAGATGTAACTAGCACTCGGCGTGTTAATTAATGAAAATTTCATCGGCGTTAAAGCGAGATTCCTTTCAATTACATTAAACCTGAGCCATGACCGTTGATTTCGCGTTTTCTACCACCGCGTGCACAATGATTGAACCGTAAGGTTTCATCGTCGTTCGCTCGCTTTATCTCGAATTAATGAGCTGCTCGCGGAACAGTCGGAGCGAATGCGTTTCAATTAAATCCGTAGGAACGCGAGTAGGCAGCGCCGTTGTCGCGTAAGAAATTACCTTCTCCTTCTTTTTAACTCGCTACGACGTCGATTCGTATGAACTTTCGATATTTTCACCGACTACTTTTCAATTTATTCGGCATCGATTAGGCAAGTCAGGTGGATAGAATTGTAGGGAAACTGGCACTGAAGCGCTTGTAATTCGCTTTGTAAACCGACTCCTATTCCGCAAGCATGATCAGCGCGGACTTTGACGCTTCGGTTCAACGACCTCGTCGACTCGAATGATCGTCGACTCGAGTCGGAAACGAGTAATTGGCCCGTTCGATATAATATACAGATAATCGATGTATTTCTACGACATCGTTCTATAATAATTTCTGGTCACTTGGCCTGTTGATTCTTAAAATCGATAAACGAGTTATTTAATCCAACCTCTCCTCTGATCATCCGATGTTCGCGATATTTTTCCAATTTCCGATTATCCTGTTTTCACGATAATTCCTAATTAGAACTGGCCACTGGCCGTTACCTAATCCCTAATCGTCCTATCTTCGCGGTAAACTGTCAAGTACACGAAGCATTCTCTACTGTTCGTTACCCAATTTCTACTAATCCTATTTTCACGGTGTTAAAAATTACTCTCGGCAAGAGGTTAGTATCGCTCGAGGGAGTAGCAAGGAGAGAATCTCGTTCGATAAGGCTCGAAGTTTGTCCGGAGAGACCGTGTGTTCCGATAGTACGGCTAACTGTTATTAACGATCGCAAGAGCCATCGGGGGGTCCTTTTGTTTCGCGTTCAACCGGAGAGACTATGTTCTCCTCCTATGTATAGGTGTGGTTGTCGTTCAAAGTCGCATTAGGAAGCTAGGACAGCGAATAATCGGAGACAGGGAGGTCGCTTGCACCAGAGTATATTGAGATTCGGAGAACTCGATAAAGAACCTTCTGCTTTCCTGTCTCCGCGTGCTCGTCCAGTTCTACGCTTTCTGATTTCAGCGTTCGATAAAACTATGCTAACTGTTCTCTGCACTCCATCAAAATCTTACGAACTCGGAATGTTGTTTCCTTTTTATCGAAACGCATTAAATTTAATTGATCCCTTAACACTGGCCAAGGCATATTGAACGAAATAAAAATAGATTTGCCTCGTAACGATGATTACGATGATTATTTGCCTAGTAAAGATAACGATGAAAAATTGTTGAAAATATTCGAGTTCTTATCTTACACGGTACGGATACGTTCGTAGAAAGATCAACAAGTGCTACTGCCTGATCAATACCGTGTCATTTCACTTGCTCGACGAGAGTGGAATTTAAGATCGTCCCCAAAGGGGTAAGTCGAAGGGTTTCGATGTTCCTGAAAGTGCGTCGAAACGCATGATTTTCAAGTCTTTTCGGACTATTCTCAAGAACGAAGGAAAGCTCAAAGGATAGATTCGAAATCGGAGTGAGTCGAACTTATAAACTTGCCTAGCCCGTTTACCTATCGAAACAACGGTGGCTGGATCGATCTTGACCCGAATATTACGATCAGATATTCGAATGTTCGCGAACTTAACGATATTCAGAATTGCTCGAGTGTTTTCGTTTGCTAATTATTTAATCGAGTTGAATTTCATAACAGTTAGCGACGTTTTAGCTAATTTTAATTAAGGGTTCGGGTTTTGTTGATTTTACAGGTGCGATCTTCACGGAAGATCAGAAGGACAGTCCGTCGGAGCTGGCGTTCAAATACGCCATCTATAAAATCAACAAGGACAAAACTCTGTTGGCGAACACGACGTTGGTCTACGATATACAATACGTACCTAAGGACGATTCCTTCAGGACGTCGAAGAAAGGTGAGCCGCACGAATGGTATCGATAAATAAAATTGATTTTGAATTTCGAAATTTCAGGTTTCGGACATATCTGTCCGAGAGAAGACTCGTGTATACGGAAGGACAATTTTACTCTTTCGAAAAAGTCCTCTCTTTGATCGTTTTAAGATAACGGATAGACAAAGTGTGCCAGTTTCCCTGCATCCTCGCTGTTCGTCCGCCACACAATGAAGCGTATTTAACGCCTCGAAACAACTCGAGTGAAAACATCTCGACACGAAAACGTTACGACGTCGATAAGACACGAATTCCGTATCTGATAAAAACGAGGCGCTCTCGAGGCCCTGACTCTTTCTATTTCGAAGCTTAATAAACGCCAAAAGGTTGAGGACAAGAAGATTTCTATTCGAGGAACCCTACACGAGTCTGATTTTCATCTTCGATACGGTCAAATGATAAAAGTTACGTTCCCCGAATGTTCATGGTTAGCTCCGTTCATGGCTCGTAACTTTTTATTCTCCGTCGCGAAGTCTGGAACGTAAACGTGAAATAGTATCTTTGCTTCCTCCGACGACAATCGCATCGATAAAGATATAGCCTAATACATCGTCGAGTCGCTAAAACGCGCTATCATTGAAAATTCGATCGAAGCAATTTTAACGAGAAAGAAGGAAACGACAGGCGAGCTAGCGCATACTGGTGAGGTGAATAGGGAACGGCTAGTCATAAGAAGAAATATATGCAAAATAATTCCACGGGTGTATCGAGTCGCCGTGAAACCATAACAATGTTTCTTGCTGGTCGATCGTACGTAGCCTGGCGAACATAAATTGCGAGCCGTAAATTCGACGGGGCGTTGATAAATTTCCAACAAACTTCTATTCGCCGCGAATGTATACATATATTCCATGGCGGATACCGACTGGATTATTGGAACTCGAAGCCGCTTCATTTCCCGTGTCGAGTACTCTTCACGGTGTTCATTTAACCGACACCGTTGTTGCATATGTTCGCGCATATCGATGTAGCGCGATGAAATATCAACTCTTAAGTAATAAAGCTTTTCAGTCCGTTACTAAAAAATGCTCCTCGAGCCTACAAATAGTACATAGAACGTTAGTACCCGTTGGTCGGTGTTTATTCTGAACCACTTGCACGAAATATGCGGCACAATCAAATTCTGATCCTTCGACTCGAGTTCCTTTCAACGAACTAAACATCGAAGTAGTAGCTTTAACGCGTTTGAAAACATGCCGTCGGAGCAGCTTCGTAGACCGTACTTACTCTTCGGCACCTCTCGTGAATCTCGTTTTCAAATCTAGAATGACGATCCTCTTCGCGTGGTAAGTACGCTCGCGACGTAGCCGACAAGCCGCATCCGCGTCAGCTTTCGCATTTAAAGACATTCGAGGCTCGTCTGAAAAGATTTTCCATTTCCAAAGCGGTCTCGTCTCTATCTCTCTCTCTCTTTTTCGCTCGCTAAGAATCTCAGCCTCGGGTTTCCTTTCCGTTTTTACCTTCCTTTTCTCTCCACGACTCTATCCTTACTTTCGCGACTCTTCTTTCACGATAAATCTTCGATGCGAAGGGACTGTCGGCCTTTTTTTTTTCTTCTTTTCTTTCTCTCTTTCCCTCTTCCGGTAGCGCAACGCGAGGTTAATGTCGCGTACAGGTCGACTCAGCTCTCTGGCGAAAGCTAATGTTCCGTCGTGGATTCGGTAGGAATAATCTTTCGCGCGTCGAGAGACTTTCGAGCAAGAATATTTCTTGTCCTTCCGTTCGCTGCTCGAATACGTCTATTTGACCGTGAAATGTTCCCGAAATTTCAACCGCGAGGCCACTGTAAATTCATTGAAAAGTTACAGTTTTCTTTGCAAAATAGTTCGTAATATGCTCGAATCTTCTTATTATAAGCAATTAAGATTATCGAAAGCAGATACATTCGTTAATGCACAAAGGATCCCGACAATTACGTTCGAAGAAGTGACGGCTTACGGTCGAGATGTCGCTCAAGGAAGCGTAAGACACACTGAAACGGAAGAGAGAAACGAATCCTCAAAATTCATTGAATAACTTCTACGAGTCCCTTTGATACCGCGAGGCGGAACATTTTAATGGAAGCTTCCCTTTATTACCGGCAAACTTTCCTCCCTCTCGACACCGTAACTGCTTCTTTGTCAGCTGGACGGCCATGGTATCCTCTGATTCTGCAGAAAATCTGCCAATCCTTTATTCGATTCTCTAGGAAATTGCGAAATGTCTTCATAATCGCGATCTTCTCCGTATCTTTTATCTTTTAATTATAAGTATTTTCAATTTAAACGATTTAATCGCGTCCATTATTTGCCGTTGAAAATAGAAGAACTCGTAACGCCTAGTGAACTTTCCACTTTTATACGAAAAAAAAAGGCGAAAAATGGCAATTTCATAAGATTCTTATTCCTTCGAACGAGATGTAAAAGGAATGTCCTCTAGCATCGAATCCTATCGACTACGAGAAATTTGATTTATCGTTGTTCTCCTGTTCGTCGCCGACGGCACGACGAAAAGTGAGACCCGTTCGCGACATCGAGACATTTCCCTGTTATCCTCTTGATTAAGTCGAACGTTACGCTTGTCCTGGCTAAATAAGCTTGGTTGGTTCGTTAAGAAATATGTAGCTGTTTTCGTTAACGAACCGACGCTATCTCACGAGTATCGCGCGATGTTTCAGTGTTTCCAGACGACACCGAAGCTTTGCTAGCTGCCTCCAGAGGTTTCTCAACACTTTGACGCGACTCAAACAGATTTATGCGAAGAAGCTTAACTAGTTTCTAATTAATTTTACTTGGCTAATTTAATCCTCTGGTGCTTCCTCTATGGTGCTCACTGCACGATAGCCAACGGTAAAGTTTCATAAATAAATTTTATTTTATTTATTTGGAATATCTTCGCGAATTCGATTTCGATTATTCGTATACAACTTTTTATTCGTGTCAGAAGTTTCAAATTTCTTTCATAACCGTTGTACCGGTTCTAAAACCGTTCAACCTCCGGTAAACCGAATAAACTGAGCGAACGTTAGGCCGCAAAAGATCGCTTTCGACAAACAAGTAAAGGAAAAATTACCACCGTTTATCATAATTTTGGGACGCATAAAGGGATAATGTAAAGGAATGATCCAAAGAAAAACATAAAACGATAAACGCGCGTTTAATGTCCAGCCGTTGAAACATAGCCGAGTCCGTTCACGAGAAGGAAAACGCTGGCAACCGTACGCTTCCGGTTGACTTGAATCTCCTGTAAAACTCTCGCGTTATGTTTGCCGTGGCATGGAAATAGAAACAAAACTATCGGGGTTTTGTTCGAGCTTCAGAGACCACGGTCCAAAAGAAACGCGTCCGGCGGGAAGAAGTAAATTAAAAACACGACTACTCGCCGCGCCGGTGCGCTCGACAAAAAGCACAACCGAATACTTTTTTAACGTTTCCACGTACTTTTCGAATAACAAAACAGATTCCTCGTTAGCGTATCCTCTGTGTACGGAATATCGAGACTTCTATTTTAAATTATCGAGCATATTATATCCCGATAACGGTAATGAAGCGTTAATTCGATTTGACGCGAAATAGCGGCACGTTCGGAGCGATCAATTCGGGGTTAAGTGAAAGCAGCAACGTAAACGCAGAAACGATGAGTCAGACGATCGACGTGGCACTCGAACGGGCCAGATCAGAGAGCAAAGAAAAGTCTCGTGAATAATTCAACGAGCACGGACAAAGCAGAATACTTGGATACGACGAAATCCCAGCCGAGAAATCGAACTCATCCATTCTCGTTCCTAGGCTACCTTTACACGCGTGCCAACGATCATTTTCCAATGCGTACTGCAGCTGTATCGTAACTGAAAGGATAATGGATCAGGAACCCATCAATATATCAATTTTCTGTCCATTTTCCGCGATATTCGCTTATAGAGAACAACGATCTCGTCGATCATCCGATGCCATCGACATTTTACAATTTATACTTTACAAATATGTATAATGTTAACGTGTTCCGTTCTATCGAATATACATATTCTTATATTTGTTAAGAAGACATTTCTATTTAGACATTTCTAAAGCGACGCTTCGTTTCGTAGCTTGCAAGCAGCTGTCCAGATCGGTTCAGGGGATCTTCGGACCTTCCGATCCTCTTCTGGGTGCTCACATACAAAGTATATGCGAGGCTCTGGACGTCCCGCACCTAGAAGCTAGGGTCGACTTCGAACCGACGTTTAAGGAGTTTAGTATAAACCTCTATCCCTCGCAGGACCACTTGAACAAAGCCTTCAAGGATCTCATGTCTTTTTTAAACTGGACCAAAGTGGCAATTATCTACGAAGAGGACTACGGTAAGCTATTTTACTATTTCGGCCGGTATAGAAAAGGATTTTCTCGATCGATCAAAGAAGTTGGTTATTTGGGAATCTGGAAACGGGGAAATATAGTGATTCGGAAATTTCCAAGTTCAATCATTAATACCGCAAGGTACCGAATCGAGTTGAAATTACAATTTAAAAGCCATGTAATCATGGCGAGTTTGCATCTATCGTTTACAAGGAAAACTTTCGGTTAGCCGATTAAACGTTCCGTCTGATCGAATGGGTACAATATGCTTTTGTGTTGGAGAGTTTTGCAAAAATTTCTATCCAAATTTACTCCGCTTCTTGCTTAACTAAGCCCGGCGAACTCTAATGGAATTGCAAGCTCGCGACGCAGCTCGACCACAGAATTTCGATTAGTGGTTGGCTGCGGCATGACAGACGAGTTCGCGTTAGGTATATCGTTCGTTTCGACACGAACGACACACTCGAAGTGAGAAAAGCGCGTGAAGCTCGCAAGTGAAAGAGAGAGAGAGTCGAAACCTCGGAAGGTGAGCATTGAGACTTTACGCTACTGAAAATTAGTTATCGTCGTGGAAGATTAATGATCGTGGAAGCTCGATGAACTTCGAGTACAATTTGTAAGATTTACCGTTTAAACGGTTAAAATCGCCAAGACTTTCTCTCGACACGTTCGGGCAACGAAGAGCTTCGGTAATTTCTAAATAAGATACGATATCAAAAATGTTATATGATTAGATAGAACGAGTGAGAAAATGGAAAATGAACCGTGAAATTGTCGATTAACTACGGAACACCGGGTATTTTGGTGGTAAACGAAAAATCAGTCGCCCTGCTGACAAATCTTGTGCGATTTTACGCGACAGAGTTCCGTTATGCGCGTGTGCGGATGACAGGCCGACATTTCAGCATCGCGCAGACATCAACTTCCGCCGGCTGAATCCGACGGCCTATTTGCATAGGGGCGCATCACGCAGTTAAAAAAAAGGCAGCGTAATGACTAGTCTGTATGACACGGTACGCCATCACCGAGAACGTTGTTCCAGTGATTCCTTGGAGAGCTCTACTCGTACGTTTGAAAATCTACTTGTGCCTCTGATATTTGCTTCGTTGTTCCGACACCGGCGCGATCCTTGCCATTGCCTCAACTTTTTTGCACATAAATTTTACGCTATCGCGAACTTTGAATTTGCTTGGAAATTTACTTATAACTTTGATACTCTACGAAAATACGTATTCACGGACACTTTGTTAAAAGTGACTCGATTGTCGAGGTATAGAATAATCGTTATTCGAAATTACCTTCCTTGATTGGACGACGTAATCGTCTCCTCTATAAACGAAGAAAAGACTGAAAAAAACCGTCGGTTTTTACGTCACCTTGAAGACTATGACAACGTCGATCATAAATTCCTTCGCCGGCTTACGGTATCTTCTTGCAACAGGGCGGCAGTTGCTATCTTGGAGAAAAAATCTTATTCCGGGCAGTATTTTGTCGAAATTCGAATTAATCTTCTAACTAAATGCTGCTCGTGAAAAAGTAACTTTTATGCCATTCAATTATTTCTCCGTAACGTTATACAATGTCTCTGGTGAAGTAAAAGACTCGACGAACCCGTAGTTAAAATTCTTCGAAAAAGATAAAAGAAGGGTGTATTCCTTTCCGATTCTTCTTCACTGCATGTAGTTTTTGCATTGTGCAACGCTACCATAAATTTCTTGCTACGCGTATCGTTCAACCCTTGGCTCGTCCGAGTTGTACTTTAAACCAGACTTTACCTCATACCATAACCCTTGTAACCTCTCTTCTCCTTTCTGTCTACCCTGTTGTGGCTTGAAACGTATACCGAAGTACAAGCAGGAAACCTGTGTGCGGGTGCATTCACCGGAAACCGGCGAGCGATAATTGGAAACCACGTCTAAGAAGAGGCTTGTTATCTTTCAATTTCGCGTTTCAGCGATGCTAACGGATAAATTATTTCACGGGATCATTCATTATTTAACGCGTTGATTGCTATCAAGTTTATCGGTTAGGGTTAAGCCGAATAATAATTCTCTTCGGTAATAAGTTCTCTTTTACGCTACTAAATTTTCTTCGCTTTTAACTTTATCACGGATATTTATTAACTCGAAAATTTGTAAATTTCCAAAATTTTTCATATGTTGAATCGACGATTTACGAAACGATAGAACAAATTATGACGAACGAACGGAACCATTTTGAAATACGACCTCTTGTAGCCACACCGTCGAAAAGAAAAAGAAATATTTCAAATTTTCCACGACTCTTCCGGCTATTTCTGTTATGTACGATTAGTCGGTCTTCGAGTCGGTCGCGTGGAGATTTAATGCGACGGAAAGGTCGATGACCATTTTCCAAAGCGCTTTCCGAACGGGTCAGTGGATTCGTGAATTCGAATGGGTGACGGCAACCTGTCGAAAATTTTCGACGAACGTTCGCGATCACGCGATTGAAAATGAAAAGCGTCATAGCCAGCCGACGATCGACATCGACTAGCTCGCGATTTTCTGCGACGAAGCGAAAATCATTTAACGCTTGACCCTCGTTCGAAATCTATTCTTACAACGATCGTTGTAAAAGACTCGTTGAAATTTTCTAGCGAATTTCTCCCGTCGAGCACTGTACTTGGAGTAATATTCCTTATTTGTTCCCAGGATTATTCAAGTTACAGGACCTCGTGAAATCACCGCCTTCCACGAGGACAGAAATGTATATTCGACAGGCAGGTCCTGGATCCTATAGGCAAGTGCTTCGAGAAGTAAGACACAAGGAGATTTACAAGCTCATCGTCGACACCGATCCCGCGCACATGCAACAATTCTTTCGAGCGGTGAGTCGATCGTTTGATCGGTATCGCGAAACGATATTCAATACCCTGAGCGAGTATTAAAAGTTCGAAACGTCGATTGCCATCGCAGACCTTCTATTCTGTAAGTAGGAAGGAACAGAGAACGAGTGAGAAGTAATTATAGCTTGCAACTTAAACGGGATTAAACGGCAATCAAGTAGCAAACGAAATGGTTTATTTCGAAAGTTTAACGAAAGTTGCGAGCAAGCAACACTCTGTCGAACGAATTCATCTTGTTACTTGTTCTGTTATTCGATTGCCTCGAAATCTCCTTTGGTATTATTCGTTTCTTGACCGTAATTTCAACGCGAAATAATAAGATAACAGAGACCGAAAAGGATTCCGAGCGCTAAGAGGAAGGCAATTTGCTCGAAACGTCGTCGCAATTAAATTTAGCGATAGTCTCGAAAACTCGAATTCTAGGCTATTCTTCGACGTTTCGCTTTTTCCTCGATAAGACACTTAGATTCTCCCAAGCTGATTCACCGCGGCTACGGTCATACGGAATGAATTTTTCTGCACGAGTGGATCGTAATACCAAAAATATTATTTATTCATTGTTTCGCTGGTTGCCGTTGCAAAAAACGAGGCGAAGCGGAAGTTTAAAATCGTTTAAAAAAATACAAGTAAGGTAGGAAAACGTGAAGCGGCTTTCGAATGTGGAAACCCATCTTTTATTTCGTGCTCTTTTTTATCGCTCTGCAATAAAAATCTGTTAACTAAAACATCTATAATAGACAAGTACAAAACACGGTTAAAAATTTGATTACCTGCCATCGAAAACAGCCATACGCACTCTGGCACTGGTCAATTTTTTCAGTCGCGATCTCTTAACAATTTAATTGTTCGATTCGATGCTTTACATCGTTACTTATTGAACGCGTATGAAATTGACAATTTCAAAAGGTAATCGACGAAACAAACGTACTGTAAAATAGCTCCGAATAACGTATTAATTTGCAGCTGATGATATAACGAAAATATCCGGATAAACGTTTCATCTATATTCTTTGTACTAATTGACTGCCTTTTTACAGTTTAATTCGATACGAAATATCCAATTGCCGAGTGATTAATTTTATATTAATATCGATGTAAAGTTTATGTAATTCGTGTTCGATAAACGATAAAGTCCAGCGTGGCACGTATTATTTATACGATTCATCGACTCGTGTTATACTTTTTATAGCATTGCGAAATTGACCATTTTGCATAGAATTTTTGAATAAGAATCGAAATATGCTTCGAAACGAGGAGAATCGTGAAAAATTATTGGTAAGGTTCGATCGATCGTGACTGAGAAGAAGCCACGATCGAGGCAGAGAAACCGATGCTTTCCGCAATTATCGGTCCTTTTATCCGCTAGAAAAATATGCATAATCCTCGAGAGCCGACGCGATGTGCCGGAAATTGCACGGTACCGTGAACCGTTTTCCGTCGAAACGATCGCACAGTTTTAGAGTTTTGGAGTTTCGTCGACGCGCAGGACAAAAATGTTCTCCTCGTTTATTCGAGGGAAATCTGCGCCTGGTGCAATTGGCTTTTACGATGAACTCGCGTATAAAGGGATTATCGCGTGCAATTCGGCACGAATAACGCAACGATCGCGAGAAAGAAGAAAATGTTTTTGCCCGAAATTCATCGGAATTATGAAGAATTTTTGGCATCCCGTTCTCTTCGATCCGATCCGGCCTAGAGCTTAAATTTCCTTACGATTCTCGTATCGTAATGTGCGCAAATGAAAACGAAAAAGAATTGAAACATACTCGATATAAATCTGTTATAGGATAAAAAGCGAAGCAAGAGCATTTCATATCCGGCTTTACGGATCATTGCCTATTCAACTCGACGAGAAGCCGGTGAAATTTGTTCAATTTTAATTGCACCACGTTTATTAACGGGAAGTCGATGGATAGAAGGACGGAATGGTTTCATGGTTCGAATTCCATCCTCGGTTCTCGTTGGATCCGTCGAGAGGGGCAATCTTGGCTCAGACGTGGTCGAAGGAAACCCGTTATTTGCATGCTTGGTCCATTGGGAATTCCTGCGGATATTCCTCGTTGCTTGAGTAATCAAAAAACGTTCAGGCTTTCTTACGATCCTCACTGTCTTTGCGCGTTTCAGCCGCTCCTTCTGCCCTCTTTTATGAATAAAGTCATTTTCTAGGGTTCTTTTTCAAAAAATTCCCTCGATTTTTCCTTTAAGCAAATTCTTTTTCATCGGAAACCGTAACAACGAGTCGTGATTATGTTCTACGAGAAAAAAAAGTAAAGTATATTATTAACCGTTTGGAAATGTCGAAATTTCAATATTTCAATATTTCAATATTTAAAGTATTCATACTTAACATTGTATTACACGTACACTTAAGCATCGGCAATATATGTAGATAGTATCGATTATTTAAGGCTTCCATAAGACTGAAAACGAAAAGTTACGAAGCAAATGTTTTTGTCGAAAATTACGATCGTATTGGAAAGATAAGGTATTAGACGGCGAAACCTTCCGATGGACCACTTTAACCGATTGCGTTCGTCGATCGTTTAGAAGATTCTTCCCTAAACGCGATGCTAAAGTGGTTGTCGTACGAATACAGTTTTATCTACACTATTCGGGGTGTTGGAAATAACGCAGCAGTGACTTGATACTGAAACTATAAATAAGATGATTCGGGTCGATGGCTACGCGTATTTCAATAAATATTCGTCGTACCTTGGAAAAAAATGACAAGTTGAATTCCCAAGGTTATACGATTTTATATTTCGTGTTCTTTTACTCTCGGTCAATCTTCTGGTACGAAAAGAAAAAACTATTTTTATTGTTATTTTCTGTAGCAAATAACAATACGTCGTGAAACATAGAGAGCAAAAGGTATATACGCGACTAATTCGAGCCGTTCTCTGCTTTTCAGATACTCCAGCTGCAGATGAACGATTACAGATACCACTACATGTTCACCACGTTCGTAAGTATTTGTTTAGTCTCTGGTATACTGTTTTCGCGATGAAAGTTAGAACTCGCCTTTGCAACCTTTCCGAGGAAACTCGCTGTACACGGTACACGGGTACGGTCCACGAACCCTTAACCCTTTTCAACTGTTCCCGTTTTCTATCGATTGCCACGTTCTTATAGTATTGTTTCGATACTTTTCAACATTCCAATAATTCTACGCGTTCGTATTAAATTTATGAAATTATTCCGAAGCAATCACCTTGATACCCCCCGAATAACAATTATTTGTCGACTAAACCCAAATTAAGATGGACAATTAACGGATAAAAATTTTGTGATGCTATTGCGTAAAATCTGGGAACTTGAATCCGTTGTTGTACACGCCATTGAATTTCCAGCTGCAGAGCGGTTCAACAAAATAGAAATTTATTTGCGTTCGATATTCGAGGACAATGCTCGGCCGCATTTGACGTTCGAAATCGTTGCAAATCCATTAGGTTTTCGATTTTCAACGAGCACTCTGCTATTTGAATTTGAATCGTGTAGCTTCTGTAGGTGACGCGTCTGGCTCGGAAACACGATTTGCAAAAATATTCGAAATATATATATACATACATATATGTTTGTACAAAAACGAAAAATGCGTAGAGGAATATATGTATGATAAAATTGAAGAGAATTTTCTTAAAGACGAAACCGTGTGTATATAAAAGTACTATCAATCTTTTATCTAATAGCGTCGACCTTTTCTTGTTCAATGTTTAACGATTACAGGAACGCTCGTGTCGTGCAATCAGCAATCACGTAAAAAAATCGCGATCAGAGGTTGCGTTGGAAATGAAAAGAAACATCGGGACGGTGTTGTTACACTCTGTCGCAACGTTTATTCGGACAGGTGATCGTGCGAGTATCGGAATTTCGATAGACCAGTAAATTGTGCGATCGTGTTCTCCGATACGAACACATCGTTCACGAATTGACACGAATTAACCGGATGGTGTTTGTCTATCAATGACCGCCTCGAGTGAATTTCACCGTGAAATTCTAAATGTTCGTGTAATCCTCGATCGCGAGTTGCAAGCCTGTCAAGGCTCGTTTAACGCGTAAAATTAATTAACAACGATCGCGAATCAACATATCGCACGTTGCTTTTGGCGCGGTACAATTAATGATCGATTAATTAATAGACGAGGAAGATCGTGACTTTACTAACGGATCAGTGCTCCTTTAACGCCGTGAATCGCCGCAGCGGCCGATCAATTTCGAGTGGACGAATTAATCTGTTCGAAACAATTAGAGCCGCGAATCGTTACGACGTTCATGACCGAGTAAATATCGATGAAGAATTCGCGAACGAGCAACGAGCGAATAATCGAAATTACGAGTTCAGGCCAGATCATTGTTTCGTCGTGCGTTCTATAACCTATTATTCCATCGTGACTTGTGAGAGAATAAACTTGAGGGTTCTCTATTTTGTAATTATCTATTCGACTATCCGCACATTTCCCGGTCAGCCCTTTCGGTATTGTTCGAAACGAGAACATTCCTGTTCCGTGAAAGATATTTAAACTCAATTACGATACTCTAAACACCAAGTATTCGAACTCCTCGATCCAGATTCGTTTACCGCTTATACTGCTACAACAACAGGGTTAGTAAATGGAAATAGATTCTGCATCGCGGAGCAACGCGTTTAAAACGACCTTTCAATTTTCTGGTTCGACTTCAATTTAATCCATTATTTATTAAAAGAAGTTTACGCGATCGATATCCACGGTAGAAGATGTTAAAAGTTATCGTCTTTCGAGAAACGGAACCATGTACAATCTATATCGTGTATATTTCTAGTTTAGGTGTTGGTTGAAGCTCCATTACTCGATTTCAAGGCTCGTTACATAAACATAACCGTGGCTCCTGGAATAAATCACTTGTCCGGGGGCATGGCACGACTTTCCGCAACGACGAAGATATCGCGCTTCGAGAGAGAAATAGCGCGCGGTCGGGACAGGAAAAGAGAGGCGAAAATCGTGTCGAGACGGATGAGGTTGATTTCAAGGGTAGAGAAATTCTTTCGGAACGGAAACTAACTTTATCTGTCGACTCGGTGCGCGACGATGGTCTAACTGAACGTTATTTAAATGGAACATCCTCTGAGAACATGGAGTCGTTATAAATCGCATTTATAATAGGAAATTATTGTACTTGAAATACGAAATATATTGCATTTGAACGAGAAACATATGTTGACAGGACATCGAAACGTTCGATTTGGAAGATTTTAAATACAACAGCGTGAACATGACCGCGTTTCGTCTGGTGGACCTGGAGGAACCGAAGGTGGCGGAAGTTCTCCGACAGATGGAACGCTTCCAGCCGATTGGCCACGCGATCCTCAACAAAACCGGAGTTATCCAGGTTGGTGGAAAGTTCATATAACTTCGGGCTCCGGAAGTCGCTGTTATCGTGGAACGTCCCGAAACTCGTTGGCCGTTGCTTGTTGCAACGGAAAACGATTTTCTCTCTTTCCATCACCGATCACGCCAACTTTCGATCGGAGGATCGCATACTCGACATTCTTTCGTGCGGTGGCGCGCTCGTATCTTTCTTACTTTTCAGCGTCAAACTTTACTTTCGTAGGAAATATGCTAGAAAAATTCGAGCGTGTTACGAGCAAAGTTTCTGTGATTATTTTACAACGAGAATCTCGTATGTATGAAATTAATCTGATCGTTAAACGCGTTACATTGTTTGCCATGTAAATTCAGAGGTACGTTTCATATTTACATTCGACTTTTAAAGGGATTCTTTAATCTAAGTTTCCCTTTTTAACGAAAAACAACCGTGAACGCTCGATTAAAATAAAGTTTTTGTATTCCGTTGTTTCACGCGTATAAAGTCTTGCCACTCGCTTTTCAAATCTTTATTCCAACAATCCAGCAGAATCCGATGGAAGCATCGAACGTATAAAGTATAAAACGAAATGAAAAATTGAAGAACGATTTAAATATTAATTCTTTATAGAAACAAATGAGCAGTTTAAATTTAAATGAAAAAGTGTTATTCGATGAATAAAACTTGCAACGATCTGACCGGTAAAGCTTATCGTAATGCGCGTATACACTTCCCAAAATCGATTGTTTCGCTGTTTACGTAACATGTTGCGAATAAGCACAGGAATTAAATGTATCGAGTGCGTCGGTAAAACCGTGTTTGATCGACAAAATGTGAAACGCTTTCTCAGCCAAGGGGAAACGTATGTTTCAGGCAGAACCAGCTCTGGTGTACGACAGCGTGCAGGTTTTCGCGCACGGTTTGGCGGCGTTGGACCGCAGCCATGACCTGAGGCTCGCTAATTTATCGTGCGAGAAAGAGAAACCCTGGGACGACGGTCTCTCTCTCTACAACTACATTAACGCCGTACGTACGTTCTATAATTTTTCATTAGCGGATGACTCGTTCGCAACGAAGCCCTCGATACTCGAACAGGGGGAAAGACATCGGCTGGGACCTTTATTACCTCGACAGAAACCGCGAATAAGGGTAGAAAATGGTATTCGGATAACTAGGAAAAAAATTTCAATTCTGTCGAAACATATTTCTTGAGAAAAAGTTTCTGAGATAGACTCGCGAAGATTGATATATATACATATATATATATGTATACGCGGAAAATAGCGAATCATCGCGTGTAAAAAAATCCATGGCCAATGGAGATGCGAGGCGAGAACTTTTCTATACTATTTATTTTCCACGAAATTTGCGCTCGTTTCAATTAAGAAAATTAAATAGCGGATCGTTTCCACCGAATTTGTCGATAAAGCGTTTCCTGACATTCTCTCTTCCTCCAGGGCTTTTTCCTCCTTTAATTTTGCATGCATTACGGAATGATACAATATCGCATCTTTAGATTTTTTGTCTATGCATTTCTTCTATTAATTTTGGCAATTTACCGGAATAATTGTTGAATTTCAACGGCATAAATATCGAACGTGTCGCGCATGCAAACCGCGTACGTACTTATGTTTGACCGACATGCCAGGACAATACATCAACGAGCAGTCGACTCGGACGATAAAGCACGTTACATAACGATACCTCCTGGTTCTGCCACTCTTCTCGGTAATTTACGAAGCAATTTTTCCAAAGTCGTTAAATTGTTCTGATTTTTTACTTCCACACCCTCGTAAATGTCGCGTCGCGTCGCATCGCGTCGTTTCGATCGTTCGATATTACTTTAAAGTTTACGAGCGCAAGGACGAAAAACTTGTTTCTATCAGATTGCGAGCGTTAAATTTGAAGTTAGGTCGGGAGCCGATTTTCGAGATTGAGGTTAATTAATCGTGACTGCTAATCGGATTACCCGATTTCGTTTATACGCGTGTTAAATACGCGCAATTAATTTTCAATTCTTTACACTTCCACGATCAGTGATTTTTCATGCACAGAATAACGCGGAAGTTACCCGCAGTTGTAGGCAGTTTTTCAACCGATTAACAATGGTATACGAAGGGAAAGCGTTTCGATAGACAGAATTCGTAAATTATTCAACTTTCTATAGAGTTCGGCTCTTTCGTTTAAAAAATTAATCACTGTATCGAGTTTTCAACGGTTCGCGAAACTTGTTGCAAGCACACTTGTTTACATGACAGGATTTGAAAAACGTACAGTTGCATTTTAACGACATGTTTATTCGACTTTAACGAGGGCTCAACAAATTTGCCGATCGCAAAATAACCCGTTGACTATTTTACGAGGTAGCCGGATGAAAAACTTTTTAAACAATTTAAGATTATACTATTTACAGGCGCAAATGCGAATTTGACTCAAGTTACTTGGTCGATAATTCGCTTCCGCCGCTGAAACATAACTTTTATTGAACGGACTAACAACAACGTTCGAAAGTAATCAAGAAGCGAAGAAGTTTCTTACTTTAAACGACGCTATTTAAGCCGGATATCGTTCGAAACGCACAACTTGCAAGCCCAGCAATGATTTACGACCTTTTTGCGTCGAGTGGAAGCAAGAACCGAGTCGTTGCAGACGTTGATACCTTAACAATTCCACTCCGTTTAATTGCATTCTATAGCGTAGTAAGAAACGAATTTATGATGTACCAAGTTCGTCTCGAGTCAACGAACGAACAAAATAACAGATTCGAAACTTCGAAACATATTTTACGCGATGCAAGTAATTCCACGCGTCAGTTCGAAAAATTTTCCGACCTACAACTCCATCCACGGCGATATAACGAGAATCTACTGTATCGCATATTGTTGGTAATCGAAATACACGACGTAAGCTTTGAACGTAAACGAACGAGAAGAGAGATATTGCCATTGCTGATTGACAAGTAATTGAGTTTCGATGAAAAAAAAATGTATCGAAGCACGAGCGATGCACATAATATAGATCGTATTATTTTTAAAATACCTATGGAAACAACGTTTTCAATTGTCACGGTATTTCGGAAATGTTTGCACTGTTTCGCACGGTGCAGCACGGTGCAGCAGTTATTCGAACGCATCCGGGCGCTAAATTCTCGGTTCATTTATCAAGGAAAGCGTTTAATTTATGCAGAATATGTGCACTGTAGTTCATTAATCGATACGTAACTGCAAACCGAATGACACACCGATTCTGTCGATAAATTATCTGCAACGCGTGCAGCTATTGGTTTTGACCCATGCTTCGTTAATACGTTATTCGTATGAATGTGTACTTGAAACGCTATTTTTCAACAAAGTGGTAGAAAAAAGGTAACTAATGGTAAACAGAATCACCGCAGAATCCTAGAAGAAAAGTTTTCCTAGAAAAAAAAGATATTATCGAATAACCTATAGCAGGAAATGGCTAGATCGGTAGATCCCGAAATTCGGAAATTACTCGAGAGCCATTTCCTCGTCGTCGGTAAGCGATTTCGAGCGACGAAGTCTGTAAACTCGCGTCTCTCGAGTAGAATGCGAGCGTCGAACTAGCCCGAAAGTTCGAGCAATATTCGCTTAATAAACCCTGCTACGAGTCTTGTCCACAAATGGAACGTGAGCCGTGCTTCTTGTACGGGCTTTAGCACGTGTTATTAGCGCAGACCGGGGAAGGGCGGCGAGAAATTTAACGAGACGGCCCGAGACGCCGCGTCGAGTCCAGTTTGCTGAAAAATATGATCGCGTGGGTTGCTTTGGGAGAGAAAAGTTGGCTCTGGGTAGAACAAGATTGAAAGAAACGAGACAAAGGAAATCGCGAAGAATTCGAATAGCTTCGGAAATTTCGACACCGTGTCGCCGCATGGAAAATAAATCCTGAATTACGATACGAAATTGGGCCGCGTTTAATTTTCGCTATAGTTTTAACAACCGTGCAGAAAACAAAATAGTCAAGAAATTGTATAAATCTCAGTTTCTGTTATTAAAATCTTGGGAACGCAGCGCGGCAATTTGGAGAGGAATTCACCTCGTATCTTATTTTAACAACGTTCCGACCATTGTTCTGCTGCTCTTTGAGCTTTATTATGAAGGTTATAGAGACTTTTGTTCAACATTTTTAACAAACTTGTTAACTGTCTTGGAAAAGAACAATAACTTCCTTCTCAGCAAAGATGTACATAAGTATTTTGTTAACATTATTTAAACAGAAGTCATTAAATTATCTACGAATCATCGTGGGATAAGAGAAATATTTGGAGCTAGTGGATTTTTGAATAATAACGCCAACGTTCCACAACACGAGCAACCGGCTTTTGGAAATTTCGAAATTTTTAGTGTACGGTGCGCCAGATATCCTATTTCCCGCACCTGCCAGCCGTATTTTTTATGGTTCCAGTCCGTAATCCAGCCTTAATCCTTGCCGAGCTATATACCCTTATCAACTTTTTTATTCTTTTATTTCGTTTCTCGTTTCAACTAGCTACGGTGTTCATTCATATTCGATACTTGACCTCTTTATTTCGTAAAGCACGACTTTCTAGATACGTGAAAAAAAAAGAACGTTGAAAGCGGAGGAAAATTTCGAAGCAGTCACTCCTCGCTATATAATTTGGATAAGGTAGCGAAGAAAATATATGTATACGATGTAGCGTAAACACGAGGAGGGTAAAGATGCGAGCTAAAGAAAGATAGTCGAGAAGACAAGGAAGACGAAAGCGATCCATTCTCTGTAGCTATTCGCTAAATACGCTGTTCAATTATTCATGTGTCAACGTTGCTTCGCTACTCCGTCTCTCCGCTCGCGTTTGCGGCTTATCGCTGGACGCCTACCAATCTGGCTGCTCCTAGTTGCACGGATACCCTGAGTATTCGTTGGAATATCCACGATTTCTTTCTCTTCCGCCCTCCAGGCTCGATACATCGGTCGATTTTTTTTCGCTACCTTAGACGGGAAAAGCACCGCTGCATTAGGTATAACATGGCATTTGCATTAGACGCGTATCCCGCGGTGCACTTACATGTATGTTCCTAACGCTGTATATCCATATCTACTATGCATACATGTATACCGTGATATAGATCGAGGCTCCCATAAGCTATACGTATCTCCCCAATCTCGTTTTCGAAGCTAGATAATAAAGGTTTAAAAAGCAATTTTACGAAATTCTGAAATGCCTGAAGCGCGTAGTTTTGCTGAAAAATCAGTTTCGCTACTTCCACATTATCGGTATAAAATATCTTGACCGTTCCTCGTTAATATCGTCGTCCACGCGTCGAGATCACGGTCTCGTGTGATTTCGTCGAAATGACCGAACTTTTATTTACAAATTTCGTGGGGATCTCCGCTCGTTTTTTACTGCCACCATTCCGTGTTACGGGACGGACAATATAGATGTTGGCAAACTAGACGAAGCGTATTTCCATCGAGTGGATTCCTCCGTCCACGTACGTTCGCTGTTTGCTCACCAGAGATAGATCGTCGAGTTATTCGAAAGAACGTTCCATCGAGTTTATCAAGCATCGATACAACGACAGGCCAGTCTTTGTCGTGAAATACCGTAGAACGGATAACTTGGTCGTAATCTGAAACGAATACGAACACGCGAGTCCACGTCGTCTGTTCGGCAGGATCGTATTCTCGCGTCGAAAAATTTCGTTTCGCTTACCGTTTGTCTTGTTCGTCTGAAAAATCGATAAACGTTCTCTGCTCTCGGAATATAGCCTGAATTTTTTTCGAAGATGCAAGGTGACGCCGGTATTTGCATAGCGAATCAATCTGTCCGTGTCAACGAATACTAATGTAACTGGAATCTACTCTAAGTAATCCTTCGGTTTCTATGAATTAAATTCTGCGAATTGTATCAGCGATGCAATTATCGGATATCGAAGTACACTCGCGTTCATCCTTTCTTCTCGTAGAAAAGAATATATAATTGTGCTCTCCGTTTCAGATGCCAATGTTTTCTTTCGTTCCAAAACTGAATTTAACATTATTTTAGTTCTATATTGATATTTTCGTCGAACGAATAGCTCAGGTTTCCTGCTAGCCAGCACGTAACCCAAATGCTTTGTCATTTTCAGGAACTAGTTTTTCAAACTTCCACGAACCAACCGAATAGACAATAACAGAAATTATAACGTTCGATATTTCTGCAATTTTGTTTCCGATTTTCCTTTTTTCGTTACTGCGAGTCTATATGAACCTGGCAACAATTAAAAACTATATAGGCATGTGTCTCTTTCATTCGTGGACTTCGATCGTCAGACTGCGCTATATGTATGTACTGGTGGGAAAAAAAATGTAAAATATATGAACGCGATACATGATCATATTATATCGAGTACATGAAAAATACTACCAACGTGTTATCGCAATATTAAAGTAATTATTAGCTAAATAAATATCAAGATTTGAACGGATATGAAGTTATAAGGTATCATAAATGTATAAACATCCGCGGACTAGTAGCTGCATCGTCGGTTAATTTCTATTATGAAAATAACATCAAAGATAGGTACATACATCGAAGCGTAAACGACGAGCTTTTAAATTAGTTTGGATCATTTCCTTTTTTCTCAACCCGGGTAATTGCTTAAGTTTGGCTAAAGAGATCTCCAACTGGTAGAATTTATATCTTGGCAGACATCTCTGCTTGCAATCTAAACTTTCTTTTCGGAACAACAAGTTCATTTGTACGTAGTATTAGTGGAATTCTAATTGAAACGACGCCAAATGAAGCGTATTAAACGTTCATAAATATTTCACGAGAGAGAAAAACTTTTAGTGAAATCATGAAATTTCAGTAGGATAATTTAAATACGATTAAATATGTTGCCCTTTTTCGTTCGACGGTAAACACAGAGTTTACAGGCGTTGTATACATACATAACATATATGTATAGGCGAAAAGTTGACTGCGGTACGATTAGAAAGCGATAAACGAATCGGATCGAGTCGGAATTTAGGGTTACGAACATTTCTATTCGCAGGCAGGTTTACACGGACTAACCGGACATATCGAGTTCAACGAAGGAAAACGGAACAACTTCAAGTTGGACTTACTGAAATTGAAGAAAGAAGAACTGGTGAAGGTGGGCGAATGGAAACCCGGTTCCGGTGTTAACGTGACCGACGTCGGCGCTTTTTACGAGACAACCGCCACTAATATCACTCTGGTCGTCATGACGAGAGAGGTAATTACCACGTTTTATCACCGTCAACGTAACACATCCGTTCGTGCGACATTTCTTCGAGGTGAAAACTGAAAATTATATGGATAGTGGAAACACGCGAATTTCCCTTTGCTTCGTATTCAAGTATAGATTAGATGTATAGAGAAATATTCGGATTAACGTCTCCTTTAAAAATGTCCGAAAGAAAGCTCCGTTTCTAATCATCGATCACGCGAACTTTCCATCCAAGTTTCGATTACGTGTTCCCGCCGCGTCTCGAGTCGTCCGAAAGAAACTAATTTTACCCTATTCGTCGTCAAAGGTTGGCGAACATCATCCGAGATACGAACCAGAGCCTCGTCTCCTCCATTTTCCAAGATGAAAGGCATGAACGTCGGTAAAAAGAGGGAAGCATCCAGCTTGGAAGCTTCGAACCGAACTCGCGTTAAGGCGTTCGATGATTGCGTATTGCTCTCCATCGTGTTTCATATCGTCTCTTCTTATCAAGGAATAAGGACTCTTTTCTACTCCCTCTCTCTCTCTCTCTCTCGCTCTTCGTCTCGTTTCCCGCGAAAGAGAAAGTCTCGTTCTTCGCCTGTTCGACAGAGTCTTCCTTTTATCTGTCCGATTTGCTTTTTGCCAGTGATCCGTCAAAGAAATCTTATCCTTGTTCGCAGGAGAAACCGTACGTGATGGTAAAAGAGGACAAGAATCTGACCGGAAACGCTAGATTCGAAGGGTTTTGCATCGATTTGCTCAAGTGGATCGCCGGTCAAGTTGGCTTCCAGTACGCCATAAGATTAGTGCCCGATCACATGTACGGCGTTTACGATCCAGAAACCAAAGAATGGAACGGCATCGTACGGGAACTGATGGAGAAGGTAAAAGATTTCGGATTCTTCGTACGCGATAGATCGTAGTGTATTTCATGCTGATTCTAGAAGGATTAACTTTTAAGTTTTTATTATATCGAGAATGAATATTCGCTAAATATTTTATGTCGACGCGAAAGAAATTGCATATTTTAATGGAAATAAGTAAGAAAGAAGCGGTGACAAGAAAGAGGTCGAGGAGAATTTTATATGCAAAACAGCGAACCGATGCTGTTACAGTAAATCCGTCACGGTTAGAATTTCATTATGCATACCTCGAGCCAACGACGCGCACCTAATTTAGCGTTTCCTAACGGACGTTAACATACATCGGATATTCCAATTCATAGAGGACGTCGCGCAGGTGTTACCCGGTAACATCTGAATTGTAAAAAGTCGCGGTTATTAAATTGGAATCTGATGTCGAAGGTTGCCCGAACGATATCGGATAATTGATCAAACTCTCCGCTCGATCCTATCACCGTTGTTCGATGTTACGAAAATCGAGATCTCGCGTTGTTAGGTCTATCATGGATCGAAACCTTCAATTTCGATTTGTTTCAAATTGGTTAGATAAATTTCAAAATATAACAAATCATAATGTTACACGGTTGTTTGCAAAGTAAACGAACAATTTAATCAAATGAATTTTCATTGTCTGTACGATTCGAATCTCGTATTTTTATCGTCGATTCGAAAACATTGATTACAGTTTTAATGAAACCATTTTTTCATCGATTACAATTCTATTCTAGCCGTGTACATTTTTACCTTCGTGAAATAAGTGATACGCGTAATGAAACATATTTGTAAAACTCGTGTTGGAACATAAAACCTGCGAGGTAAAAAGTAATTAAAAAACGTAGAGCCAGAAAAACATTACGTTTCATGTATTAAAGCAGCTGGCGAAGGTGAAACGAGAAAACGGTAATAATAAAAACATTGATGGAACTGGTACCGTTTGCTTGTTCACCCTGGAAAAGCATGGTAGAATTAAGTGTAGAAGGAACGAATTAAATAATTAAACGTTTCGGTTATTCGTTTCGTTCATCTTATCAAATATACATATAGAAAATTGATTGTTAATAAATCTACTAAATAACTATTACAATATTTTGCCCTTAGAGTTCGAAAATCTGTGTAACTTATAATACAAAACAACTATAATGAACGATATCATTGATTGCTCAAAGTATTAAGTTTGGTCAATTTTTTTATGAACATCGGGGCCATTCCAATTATTTTCACGAAGAAGATGAATAGAATTATCTTAACGCTGTGGTATGTATATTACGGTAAAATAATGTGCATATAAATGAAAGTAACAGGGACACGAAGCGTTAAACGCGGAAGAGAGTTGAAAAATACGTAGCAAAAAGAGAATAAAGATTAAAGAAGCAGAATTTTCAGCAGAAAACTGATGAGTCGAGGTCCTTGGAGACGCAGAGGTTGCGGATCGCTGTCGGCGAATTCGTGTTCCGCGCGACTAACCGCAACTCCGACACGGGTAACCGGTGAATTCCGAAGATCAGCGATTTATAAAAGATGCAAAGCAATCTGTCCCTTGTGAAAGGGTGTGCCGCCTTAACCCAGAAACCGACGAAACCGTAAGCGGATCGTCCCGAAGGAAAGACGTCATCGACGGTGACCTAGCCGTTCCGGAACGGTTTACGTCCTCTTATAAAAGATGCACTGGTTATTTTGCAAAGCAAACATTCGCCTAGCTGACGCGATACCCTGCACTTGCTACATCTTTTAAAGAAAATCTATCGAATCGAAAGTAATTAAGGAAATATATCGATGCGTGGCCTTCTTTTAATGTTGCATTTCGTATTTCCTAAATAGGTATTAGAATAAAGTAGGTGTACTTCGTAAAATGCTCCGATCGTGTACCGAAGATGCGAACAATTCTTGAAATTAGGTCGTTCGCGACGAAAAAGAAACGAGAGTTCCGCGAGTGAAATCTTTTCTTTTATTTTACAGAGGGCAGACTTGGCTGTCGCGTCCATGACGATCAACTACGCGCGAGAAAGCGTGATAGATTTCACGAAACCGTTCATGAATCTCGGTATAGGGATTCTGTTTAAGGTGAGTCGCTGTTATCGTTTGTTGATCCATCGATATTGCTTTCACTTTAAATTTCGGATAAATTTCTGCACGAGACGAGTCGAGATCCGAACTGTCCTTATGGTTCGACCTAATATAGTTCGCGTTCGTATCATCCAATTTAGATGAAACGTTATAGTTATCGTACGGCGGAGATGAAAAATTGCATAACGTGTATCAAGACGAATTCGAACAGAATCACGAAACGTGTGAAATTCCGTCGTACAGAGTTCAAATACAAATTTCCAGAGGGCGAAACTTCTGGATTTCGTAGGACGATGTTCGTCAGAAAGGAAGGAAGAATTCGCGATGCAATTTATCGACGATCGTGGCACTGCTTAGTTCAAAGAAGCCTGCATAATAAAATTTGTATTTTAACTCGGCAGTCGATTGAAAAAAAAAAAAAGTAACGGAAAATCGTAAAAAGTAGAAGGAAAAACGGAAAGAAATTGTCGATGAAACGAAACGAAAGAAAACGAAACGAAGAACGTAGAAAAATGTTGTCGAGAAATGTACCGTCGTTCGACGGGCAAACGTGACGAGATCCGTTTTAATTAAAATCGTAGCGTAACGTAATTTAGGTGCCCTCCAGCCAGCCAACGCGCTTGTTCTCCTTCATGAACCCGCTGGCCGTCGAGATCTGGCTATACGTGCTGGCCGCGTACATGCTGGTAAGCTTCACCCTGTTCGTGATGGCACGATTCAGCCCGTACGAGTGGAACAATCCGCACCCGTGCCTCGCGGAAAGCGACGTGGTCGAGAACCAGTTCAACGTCAGCAACAGCTTTTGGTTTATCACTGGCACGTTCCTGAGACAGGGCAGTGGGCTCAACCCCAAGGTACACTCAACGAGGTGCTTCGCCACTGGACTATTTCTTTCGTTCTTTTCGATTGCTTTCTTTATACTAATATCTACTTCGCACTTTTCGCTTCTTTCGTTCCCGCCGCGTTTTCACAAATTTTTACATTCTCGTTCGAAAGATTATAACTTGCTCTTCTTGGATCGATACGTAGTACTTGACTTTGAAACGTGCTTTCTACATGTATACGTTACACAGCATACACGGTCCGATGATCTTCATAAATGTATCATAAATGTATATCGATAAATATCTGAAAACGATCCATGTCTACCGTTCAGCTTCAATTTCCATGAAATTGAATTTTAAAATTCCATGCAACTTTCGAATAGTAATTACCGCTAAATAATATTATATTCTACGCGAGAAGATTTCTCCGACCTCGTCGCGGTCTCCACGAAACTTCGTGGCTCTATGAATTTGCACGAAAGATGATTTCATTGTCCATCCCCGTTAATAATCCCGTTTTCTCCTTGTCCGTTCTTCCGAGAATAGTTCGATGGACGTTTAAAGCGAGCAGCCGGGTAAGGAAAATCAGAAGCTGTCACGGTTGGAATCGGCTATAGCCGTCGTCGTCGCTCCGTAATCCAGATTCGCCTAGATTTAGAAGCTAAATCGTGGTCTAGTTTCGACGGTACCTTGCCTAGAAGGAGAAAAAAAGCGAACGGAAGGATAAAGGGAACCTGTCCAGCGGTTGAGCCCGTTACGCGTTCAAGCTATTGTGTTTCCGTTCCTGACGGACCAAAGAATGGCGAGGAATCGTGATTTCAGCGAAATAAAGGATCGCCTTTTTCAACTGTATTCACGAGCGACGGAACAGCATTCTCGAACCGCTGTTCTCCGAATTGTTATACGCGAATAAATGACAAAGAAAAAGGTCTGAGATCGATAAACGGCCAAAGTCGGTCGTAAAATATAGCATGGAAGTTACGAGAACGGTCTTCTTCACGTATTAACGAGCTTCTGCGCGTTAATAGATCGAGAACCAGAGTAGAACGTAACGTAAATCCGGTAACGCGTAAAACCTCGTTCGAATTCGAATCGGAACGCTTGGAATAATTTATCGCGAGATTAAAAGGAATCGAAAGCGTTCGAAACGATGATTAACCTCGAGCAGAGAACCGTTAAACATCGAGATTCAGATAATGTGGAAATACGTGTAATTGCTTCAGGTATCCGGTCGAATGCCGTCGAGATTGTTCTCGTTCATGAATCCTCTTGCCGTGGAGATCTGGTTGTCCATGCTGGGCGCTTACGTGATGGTGTCGTTGACCATTTGGATAGTGGCAAGGTTCTCGCCTTACGAATGGGTGGAACCGTTGCCTTGCCCAAGCTGCAAGTGTCCCCTTCAGGTAGGCTCTCGTCGAGTGGTGCTAATCGCGATCATAGTAACGAGAATTGTTGTGAAACTAGTAAACCTTGAATTTCCGTGCCACTTGGCGGGGGTCACGCGATTCTCATCAGGGTGGTCACGTGAGCGCCTTGGACCCTGACAGCGACGACATTCCTCTGCCAAGAACCGTCAACGAGTTCACCCTGGCCAACAGCTTCTGGTTTACGGTCGGCACACTTATGCAACAGGGCAGCGACCTCAACCCCAAGGTAAAACGTGTCACCACAGAGTCGGCTTTTCAGAAACTTACAACGAAACAGCTAAAAAATAACTGAGTAGATCTCGAGAGCTCGTTGGATTTCGGTCCTTCTCGTTTCAGTGTCGCGCGCTGCTCGATTCGGCAGTACGTTTTCAATTATTTTCATTATTTTCCACCGAATACGTTCGATACGCAACGACCCTATGTATCTGACAATAGCCCATTTCCAAGAATAATCGTTGATTATTCGCGAGGAAAAATTGAAAAAAAAAGTCTAATTATTTAACGACGGAACGTTCGATAAAAATTCATTGTTCGAAAATGAAACAATTATAGCGATTTAATGTCGAATAAAGGTACGTAGCAAGGAAAGACCGGACGAAAATGTAACTACCGATTCGGTAACGATATCACTGGTCCATAAAGCGAGTTGTACCTCGTAACGGCATTATTCGCCGTAAAGGAGGCCGTTTAAAACGAGCTCGTGAAATTTCGGTGTTGTCATAAAGCCCGTACGTGTGAACCTACACTCGCGTTCACTCTACTATATCCACGGAACCAGCTACGCTTCGTTTTATTCGCCAAACAATCAGAGAAACAACGCTCCACTTTCATCCTTTTCTTCGTGTTGTTTGCCTTTTTGTCCAGCGCTACCACTCCTTTTCTTTCTAGACCTTCCGGTGTGCTCGCAATCGCCCGTTTCCTTCCACGTTTCCAACGAAACGAGTTTTTGTCACTTTTAATCACCGCCGTGATGTTCAGCCCTCGAAACACGTACACGTTCGCAAATCCGCCGGTTTTCTTCGACTATGTGGAACGAGATCCATCCGGCGCGGAGTAGAGAACAGTCGATGAAACTTTGCCAGCCGCGATATCTCGCGGGAAATGAAAAATGGAAGAGACGGCGTATCCTGACCAATTTCCTCGTCGTACTGTTCATTTGATGGCGCCAGTTTTGATCACCGATCCTTGTCGCGTAGTTGTTGCTTCCTTGGAAATTGATATTCCGATCTTTGAAAATACACTTGGCTGTACACTTCCTTTTGCCAAAGAGAGTCGCAATATTTCGATTTCGAGCAAGTCCACGTACAATTCGAGAAGAATCGGAAAATAGCCCAGAGACAAGTTAGAAAGATTGAAATGTAGAAAATGTCGAATTTAAAATGACTCGAGCGTTCGGAGCGTAGCGATTAAGAAAATTTATGGAACGTTTCCATCGAACCACGTGGACGCGAAATAGCGGGATCCAACGAGCTGACTCGTTTCTGTTTCGAGAAAGGTCGCGTAAATCGAGAAAACGTAATATTTTCAAGCACCATATGAGTACAAGAGAATCGATACGCGTGAATATCGATCGCGAATAAAAATGAAAAACGTTCCCGCATACCGTCGAGTGTTGTTTCAACGGTTTTGTAACAAGAGTAAATTCGCTCGTTCCAAAAGAGCGAAGAATACTTGTTGACGTAGCGTAGATACGAAACACCGTCGAAATCCTCACGTTTTAAAGACACAAGAACGATCGATGCATTTCCAGAGATCGCATGTCACCCCTGCATGCACATAGCAGCAGCCAAGCACCTTCCATTTTGTTCACCCTGTTCCCGTTGTTTCGATTCGGGTTTCGCCTCGACGTAAAACGAGATATCATCGATCAAGAGCACGCCTCGAGCAATTTTCGCTAACTTACCTCGAATTTTGACGCGTCGTTGCCGTCGCTACGACGAAAGACGTACAGCTTTCATGCATGGGTAATCGTCAACTTTAGCGTAGACGAAGAATTTATACACGAGAACGAATAAATAATCTGATAAATATACTATCGGATCAAAGAACGATACAAACATGTTGCGTAGTCCGTCTCTAATAAGTTACTACGTACGTAGATCTTAATCCATTTGCTTTAACATACATTCCCAGGTTGCGAGTTTGTACGTTTTCAAAATTTCTACGTTCCCAAATTCCTAAAATTTGCAATTTCCATTGATCTTGGCCCTACTGTCATCGTGAACACGATTGCTCGTAAGCTTCAGCCTGCCCGACACTGAATTAAAATGCGCATGACAAATAATCGTAGAGAAAAAGAAACGAAACGTAAAATCGTGACACGTTGTCCCTTAAACTCCTCCTCCAAGTGTAAAATTTCACGCGTCGTCAGCTGCGATAACATTCGACGAAGGTGGGAGAGCTCTTTCTAACGATGCAAAGTTAACACCTGTACAGCATATGGTGCTAGCCGGCTCTGGTGGCATGTATATGTACATGCGGGGTTGTCGTTGCGAACTTTACGGGAATCGTAGGTACTTCCGTGCCAAAGCTGCTGATTCTTCGGTAAAATCTCGCGAAAATCTCCGATGGTACGCGCGCGAAAACTCGGACGAGCGGACACGTGATCTTCCCAACGCGAAACACTGCGCGAGAGATCAGGTGCATCGCGAGTTTCGCGAGAATACTTCGCGAACCTTATTATCCGACGCGACGCCTTGCAACCTCGTTGGAACACGCGACGAGCGATTTTCGTCGCGATAAAGCCGTTTACCGCGATCACGCTGCCGATACGAATAAATAACAGCCGGCGTAGACAAGTTTTCGCAAAGCGATTCCTTTCCCGACGCGATTCGTACAGCGAAGCCAACTGTTCCGTTTGAATTTTTCTACGAGTATCCAAACAACCGGGGAATCGTACAGTTTGTGGACAATTCCGAAACAGCATTTATCGAAAAAAGCTTATTATACTTTACAAAGAGTGATCGAATCCCTAAAATTTCAATTGCAATCGTCACTTTCTTTAACTCTGTACAGATTCGGATATATGAACGAAGCCAAGTTGGATCAGAAGCCGTTCGAATGGTCGGAACGCGATATATAATTTTATTGCCGAAGATATCGACTTTTTCTCCGGTAATATCCTGTGTGCGATGAATCGGTGTAATTAAAATCCTTCTTCCGGAGCAAACCGAGTCTTCTTTTTACTCAAGTTCGTTCAGATTGAAAGAAATAATTGAGAAACGCAGTGATCGGTTGGTAATCGGTTCCGTGATGGTCTCCCTCCGACCCGTTAATGGATCGAAATATGCCATTAGCGACCTCGAGGCGCATCATCGAGACCGCATATTGCATTCTTCGATCCGCCTAGTGGAATGTAGCCGAGACACGGAGCCCCCAGGGGGTCTTAAATCGTCTCTCGGCCTCGATGCTCCACCGACGTGGTTTCAATTGATCGTGGAAGCTCTTTATGGGCTTCCGGCACGGAGATGCGGAATCGAAGCAACATTTATGAAAGAGCTGATTGCCGCTCGCGAACCACGATGTTCGAATAAGTACACGCGTTCGACAGTTTTATTCGATTAGATCGCTTTGTCGTATCGCATGCGATTCATAAGTTTACGCTCGCTAATTTATCGTACATTTGATTGTTCGCGTAGAGAGAACCAAAGCTCGATACCGTATACGCGTATTAGGCAATGCTCGTTTATCCATTAAATCGTACAATTCGAGTAAAATTTACTGTACAATCTGCGGAAAGGAATTGCTCGCGAAACATACCGGCATTTAGTCGATTCAAGATATATTGATCGTGATTAACAGGCGACTAGCACGAGAATCGTGGGCGGAATCTGGTGGTTCTTCACGTTGATTATCATCTCCTCTTATACGGCGAATTTAGCCGCTTTCCTAACGGTGGAGAGAATGATAACGCCGATCGAAAACGCGGCCGATCTTGCTGAGCAAACCGAGATCTCCTATGGCACGTTGGAAGGTGGCAGTACCATGACATTCTTTAGAGTAAGTGTTCATCTTTATACTGCTATTATACTGCTATTATAATTTATCTGATTGCGATAAATTGCTGCTAATAATTATTTCCTGTTAAAGTCTTAACGAAAATTCCAATATTTCGATGTTAATAAATTCACGATTATTGATCTTTAAAAAACATTCATAGAATATAAATGACAAAAGACAGGTAAAAGGTAGCTGAATTCTCGTCTCTGTTAGTTTTCGAAGAAAGTTGGTAAATAACGAGACTGGTCGGTATGGGACAAAAGTTGGCTACTCGAGGAAAGTTCGTTTGAAGAAATGCTCGAAATATAAGTCGAGTTGCGTGGAATAAGAAGTTACGAAGTGGAGAGTTCCTGAAAACAGATGGTTCAAGAAGTTTCCCCGCAGATTTAGATAATTTAAAGGCGACTTCTTTGCCTGGTTCAAATTTCGGGAGTAATTACGAAGGAAGAAAATTCTGTTTCGCGAAATGGTTCATTAAATCGATTCTCGGCCGACATATAAATAGTGGTAGGAATTCGTTAGCTCGGTTAATGTTTCAACGCATTCGCGATGAAACGTTTTATGTTTCGCCAAAGCGGAGCCAAAATTTTCGCGAATATTCCATGCACGTCTTACGAATATTTCAACGAGCACCGAGCGAATATATATTCGCGGTTCATCCGGAATATTAAAACCATAAACTTACCGGTTGCAATCGGTCGTGTAACAAATTTGACTAATTATGCCGTGAAACGTGCACGACGATTTTCATAACGTTGATATAAAACGCGAAACGCGTTGTTTAATTTTCGAATAGTCCACTCGCGCGAACTCTTATCGTTATTAAATTTCGATGCTCGTTTGTGCCGACGCAACGCTGCATTACATCGATATTAATATCGTATTATTGGTATAGGATTTTATAACGAAGCTTCCATATAATACGTGTATCACGGAGTAAATAATACGTTCGCGGACCGAAGGAATTTGTATCGCTAATAAAAATATCCTTTGTAACACGAATGCGTTCAAATGAATTTCCGATTATTTCCTGTGTGAATTCATACGCCAGAGATTGCAAAGACAAATCTCGGTATATAAGGTGCGGTGCCACCGTAAAACAAAATGCTTCGATGAATTGTCTATCGTGAAATTGCAAATTTGCCAATTAGCCGAATTACTAAATTCTGTTTAACGAACAGGATTCGAAGATTGGAATATATCAAAAGATGTGGAGGTTTATGGAATCAAAGTCACCTTCGGTGTTCGTGAAGAGCTACGAGGACGGTGTAAAAAGGGTGTTGGAGGGTGACTACGCGTTTTTAATGGAATCTACGATGCTCGACTACGCGGTGCAACGCGATTGCAATCTCACGCAAATCGGTGGTCTACTGGATAGCAAGGGCTACGGGATCGCTACGCCAAAAGGTAATAGAAAATAACAATCTCCGTACGTTTACTCGTTGTATCGGTTATGCGATCGTACATCAGCCTAGCTTGTGTTCTCGTATAGAGGAATAAGCCGACATACGTTCGAGGAAAAGGCAAATGTCCAACTCGGTTCCTAACTAGATACGCCAATACCAACATCGTCGTCGGAGCAATATAACGAGAGTCTATTTGCATGTCCATCGTTCTCGCTTTATTCCGTATTCCGTGTCTAAGCGTCTAAGCCTACCAGCTAGTTCTACCGGCGAATCCATTAACACATCTCGACGGAAAACGCTCTCTCCTTTCTCTTCGTTTTCTCTCCATCTCTTTCCGCGCCAGGGCCGCCATAAAGTGTTAATTAGCAACTGCAAACTGTCGCGCGCTTTGAAATCCAAGGCACTCAGTTTCATCGAAAGCGCTGGAAGTTTCGCGTCCAAGTAATTGCCAGGCTGGTTACCCTCGAAAGCTTGCGGGTGAATTTCTAAATTGGACCAAAGTGTCCACGTTTTAATTTATGCACAACTTTCGCGATACATCCTGCTGCGTCGCTTTATTCTCGACGATCGCGCGATCTCGAAAAATTCGCGACTCACGGTTAATTACGAAAAAATCGAGGAAACTCTCGAGGAAAGTTTGACAGGGAGACAAATTGATTCGCGGCCATCTTTATTTTTGATCCTTGAAATAAGAAAGAGTAATCTCAGCTTCGCTCGAAGCGAATTCGCCGGATCGTTGACCGACTTAACGAAGCCGTTTTATATGCAGGTTCGCCTTGGAGGGATAAAATATCTCTGGCGATTCTGGAACTACAGGAGAAGGGGGTGATACAGATCCTGTACGATAAGTGGTGGAAGAACACCGGAGACGTGTGCAACCGGGACGAGAAGAGCAAGGAGAGCAAAGCTAACGCGCTGGGCGTCGAAAATATCGGTGAGTTGGCGAGAATTGAATTTTTTCTTCTCCGCGAGGCTAGAAGAAAAAAGAACGGCGAAGAAGACGGCGGTCGAGAGAAACCGAGGTATAATTTATCGTCGGAGCTGAAAACCGGCGAAACTTTAACCGATGTTGCCCGAGAAGGGTTGAAATTTTTATTGAAACGTATCAACGCTTTCGCTCAATGTCGACTTTCGCGATACCTTTTACTCCCAAATATCTATGCGTGCTGTCAAAATTTCTTCGAAACTGTTGCGACTAAAAGTAAACATTCCGAATCCAATATCGTTACTTTTATGTCGTTCACTGGCTGTTTCCGTTCAACCGACGCTCTACAATTTCATATTTTTTATGCATTTCTTTTATCCTTGAACGTGTACGGACAGTGTTTCTAAATTATAGAGAAATTCCATCGAAATAATCAAACGCGGTTAATCCAGATAACGGTGACCGATGTCCGCCCTGTAATCAAACGGAACAATGAGTTTAATCAACAAAACAAGCACGAAACAAAGACACGAAGTCATTAGATACGTTTGAATATACCAGTATTCCGTCCAGTGTGTAACTAACTTAATTTATGGGCTTCCGAGTAGCATGTCGAGTTACATAATGAACTGTGGATGGATTTCAATTAGCTACAGAATTGCGTAACAAACCATGCCTAGAAGGTTGAAACGTTTAAACGAAATTAGAAAACGGATCAAATAAAGAAAGATCTTTAAGAATCGACGATCGTTTTAAATAACTGGCGATAAATCTCCGAATTACAAAGTTTCCCAACCCTCTGTTCTCGATCAAAGCTATTATTTGGAATTTTCAAAAATATCCAGATTTTAGCAAAATTCCATTCCGCTGCTGAAATGTATGCGGTAAAAATACCATAAACTGCATTTGCCGTAAAATAGTTTGAGTAATGAAAGCACGCCGCGCCGGTACGTTTCTTAAAATTCCTGTCTGATAAATGGAATTCCATTGTGTCGCGTTAAAGTTGCTTTTTCGTTCAACGAAAACTATGGTATTCCGGAGACGTGTCGCGGAAGTCGACTTCTAGGTCGAGACTCGATGACGTCTGAAGTTCGCGGATAACAAAAGTCCGAAGTTCTCGACAGTGAAACGCGGAATAGTTCCATAGGCGCGCAATGGCCGCGCTTTCTCGCCTTGCCGCGAAATTAACCGAGACAACGGGAAAGAGACGAGGAAATGGGACTGGCGCCTACACGAGAAACTTTGGTGCTTCCGGTAAAAGGTCTCTTTAATCGTTGCGTTGCGTTGCGTTGCGTTACGTTAGAACGATTATGCAAACCATTTCGAACTTAACGACCAACGAATCCGTTAAACGTTAGTTACCAACAGAACGCATATTTCTTATATTATTCTAAAATTATTCGATACCACACGATCGTTTTGTAACGATTACGAAATTAGTTCTGATCGGTTCAAAGTTCCATGTTATTAATTCGCGATAATACTCGACGAAGTAAAACGAACGAGGAAAGGACTGCTGATAAGCGAGTAACGATTAAACCGGAAGTTAGTTGACTGAAAAGTAAGCACACGGCGCAGCGGCAAGGTACTCGAGCACGCGTAACGGTTCGAAAAGTTCAAGTTCGCGAGCCTACGAACGAAACTTCCTGGATCTCGTTTCATCCGCGAGAAAATGAAAACTCGCTCTAACGTATAAATTTTGAAGATTCAATATGAAGCGCGCAGGTATCTTCAATTTTCTACGAAATATGCAACGTTTTAATAAGAGAACCATCTGGGTGGAAGTGTTGGCAATAGTACCGCGAAGATCATCCAAAACTTGGTAATATAAAATACTTGTAAAATAATATCGAGCGGACGAGTAGAGACAGGCTGACTTTATAATTTGCTTAGAGCCGGAAGTTCCGCGGCGAAACTTTGGTGGATTCGATATCGAGACGACGCGACGTGTACGCGGTAAGCGAGCAAACTATACGAAATGATCGTCGTAGAAAATAAATACTGCCGTAACTCCGACAAAACTCTTTTCTGCCACGCTCGTTTTTCTACCGAGTAACTTTACGAAACGACCACGGATAAAATAACGAATCGTGTACGTTCGTTCACAGAATATTGCATAAAATGCGATGAAAAGCCCAGATCGTCGTCAACTTTAAGCCGTTTAGCTTTAAACAGTTTCGAGGATAGTCGAGCATTGTTACTCGTTTTCTTCCATTTTAATTTCAATTTTAAAATTCGTCTCCGATGCCGAGACAATCTCGATGGACTGGATCAAGTAACGCGTTACAAGCGAGTGAATCAGGGAAAGTAACCGATTTGAAAAATCCTTGCGAAAACTTTGGGATTTTCGCGAAAAAGAAAGACGATTTTAACCGAGCCCGCATACCTCGACAGTGCCTAAACTCACGGTCCACAAATTTCTGTCTCCCCGTTCGTCGAACGGATTCTTTCAGCAAAGTTTCAGCCGGAATAAAGGAGAGCGAGTTCAAAAGGGAAAGACGGGAATCGAGGAACGGCTCAACAAAGACCGTTGAAGAGGGCGAGAAGACGCGAGCGTGAATAACGACAGCGTACCATGAACGAAGGGAAGCTAGACAGATGGATAGATAAATAGATAAATAGAGAGTCGGAGGATAGGTAGGGGTAAAGAGAAAGGGGTTAGAGGGTGATAGATGGCGGGACAGATTCAGGGAATGGTCCTTGGTGGCAGTTACATTAACCGTGAAGCGCGGGAGCTCGACATCAGAAAAGAAGCAGAGACAGCCGGCGGCGGTAAAATAATGAGCTTCCGGTTTTCTCGTTCCAGGCGGTGTCTTTGTCGTGCTGCTGTGCGGCCTGGCGTTAGCGATCCTGGTGGCGATTCTCGAGTTCTGCTGGAACTCGAAGAAGAACACCCAATCGGACCGGGTAAGCGAACGAACCGTTCCAGATAATTTCCTACGATTTCGTGCTTCGCGTATACCTGCTGCATGAGTGTACATTCTTTTCGTGGCGTGCAAAGCCGTTCGTTTACGTTTTACTTACGTTTTTGCTAGTTTTCTTTCTCGTTTCTTCCACCAGTTACAAACGGAACAGTTGCATGCCGTGTCGAACTCCCTTAAATATCTTTTTTCCCTTTCTAACTACACGAACGGAAGAATGTTTCGAAGTAGCGAGATTCGTAGCGAGATTTCTTCCAGTAAAATCAGACTTTAACGACCCAAAGACCGAGTAACTAATTTCTTGAAAAACCATTTAGTTTCATACTGTTCTTAATTTACATTTGAAATTCCGAGCAAGAATTCGGTTACGTTCCTCGATTACGCTTCGCTTAGCGTTATTTGTTATTTCATTTATTCGATCGCGTTACGTGCGTAGCATTATTCATCCGCGTCATTCACCGTCTTTCGAACAATTCGATTCGATCAGTTTCTTTGAATTTTTAATCACGAAGCGTTTGATCGTTCGGCTGCGAGCTGATTAAATGTCACGCGCGGCCTTGCACGCGAGAGAAATTGCATGGTATCGCGGTCGTCGTGGTGCGATCGTCTTCTGTATCATTTGTTGGTATTGTTGTGCCTGCTCTGACGGTCCCTGTCCACTCATCGACGGCTAAACGAAACCGATGCCGACGCCGACGACCGATCGACTTCGCATTTGGCACTTGGCAGTCCCTATGCGCCGAAATGGCCTCGGAATTGCGGTTCGCCGTGCGCTGCGGCTCCAGGCAGAGACCAGCCGCGAAGGCGCGCAATTCCGACGCCGCGGTGCCGTGC